AGATGGCAATCGTGTTGTGTTGTTTAGAGGATCGCAGGATATCGAAAGCCTTGGCAAAGCTTTCGTTTCTGTTTGAGATACGGAGAATGGAAGCTTTGTACGTGGACCCGCCACTCTGAACTCTAGACAAGAACATGCAAACTCAGTGTCACCCTCGCCAGATAATACAGCCATTGTGATAAAGTTTTCCCATGAGACAGACTGTTGGGACATATCCAACTGGGATACGGATGTACCCATCCGCTGCCACCTATCCATAGTGTCGTGATTGGTTTCGAGTCCGAGAGTTCTGCGGGGCTTAGGTTCCTGCCTTCGACCCTGTCGCCCAGGATGGTGTTGACTCTGACGTCGACGAGGCCATATTTGAGAAAGAAAGAGGTTGGATCATTTGGGATCGAGGACTCTGCTGGATACCACCATTCTATAGCAATGTCGAGGACCCGTACCAACAGTATTCCGCTCTCGTTTCCTAGGACATGCTAGCCATGGGAATGCCTCGCAACGAGCCACTTATCGTGAAGTTCACAAATACCGATACCTGGGATGTAAATAGTAAGGTTCGCTCTGCGGCTAGAAGCTAATTCCTTTCTTCATCATAGCGACTGTGCTCAGCAGAGATCGGTGCATCATCATGGAATGTCTGGGATCCCGTCGATTTTTTCAACTTGGAGGAAGATGCTCTAACTAGGCGTTATCGGAATATGCTAGATCATTATATGAATTTTGCATATTCTTGATTAAAAATGGCGTAAACGCCTTGCCTAACAAGTTGGTAGTGCAGTTCTTTTGTGAAGGTGAGTCTCTCGAAGTCTAGTCATACTACTCTATGTGCTTAGCCATTCTTGCAGAGCCTGTTTCGTGTAAGTGTACACAGATTCTCATCTGATTTCTCATATGACCATTATGGCAGTGCCATATATTTCCCCTTGACCAGGGAATGGTAATTACGAACAAAGAAGGCGAAACGTTGACATCCAGTGTCTGGACTCCTGTGCGCGACCCAGATGAAGCGGCTGGTACGATCCATTGGCTAATAACTGGCCTACGGGGCATCTGGTACGTTTGATACACATTTAGTGGGAGATACTGACTAATGAAGGGATTGATAGGCCGAATTTTGTCGTTCATGATTCTCAACCAGATAACTTCATCTAGTAAAGCGGAGCCGACTCGGAAGCAAGCCGAAATCGGAAGTGGAGCCGATGTTTGCATCCAGGGATAACGGTTTCGTCATCGTGGGAAAATACTTATTTTTATGTACAATTGCATATTAATCCTGAAATAATGCCATCCAAATCCTGACCGTCAGTCCTTACCGCAGACGGCTGCCGCAGTACCTCTCTCTTTGATCTCCCTACCATCCTGGCGGTCCACAGCCACTAATCTGCGTTGTCAGTTGGAGAGTTACCATCTTCATCGACGAGAAATGGCCAAGTTAAAATCGCCGTCGCCACAAGAATTGTATCATGCAAGGAGACAGCGGGTGGAAGAGGAGAGGGTCGCTTTGCTTCCGCCGGGGTTCATCAACAACGGAAATACATGCTTTATGAATTCCGTGCTCCAGGGTGTACGTTATTCCGTTGTCAAACAGGAGTACTACTGATCCTATACTGGCCAGTTAATCGCGACGAGGCTGCTCTCGGATCTTATATATTTCAGGCCTATCTCTCCTGCTGACCAGTTCCACTCGGAAACCCGTCTTGAATCTCGGAGGTCGCCGTTACTCACCAATGGAGTCAAGGCCGCTGGGAAGGACAGGCAGGATTGGGTGGACACCATGCCCATCGGGGACATCTTTGTGAACATCATGCTAAACGCCTGGGATGCGCAGAGGAGTAAACGCAGGGAGAATCAGAGTCCGAGGTGCGTCGCGTTCACTAGTTGTTGCTGACTGGAAGCTGACACTTGTAAAGGGCACTTCTTGGCGTGCTCGGCCGGAAATACGACCAGTACCTTGATTTTGCGCAGCAAGACGCGCACGAATTCATGCGTATCCTGCTTGATGCTATGCGCATGGAGGAACTCGATGTATGTATGCGCCCCTTCTATCGACAATATTCTAAATGGAATACAGGCCATAAAGAAACGACAGCCGCCACCGCCGCCCGAGAAAGTCAAGAGACGCCGCAGGCGAACGCTGACCCCGTCCAACCATAAGCATGATGACGACGACAAGCTTCTGTCCTTTCCGGACATGATTTTTGGGGGTAAGCTTACAAGCGTTCTAGTTTGTCAGAAATGCAAGCACGTATCACAGACATACGAGGACTTCAATGATCTCAGTCTCAGTATCAAACCAGAAGACTATGCAAAAGAGCGCAAACGCGATCGATTAAGGAACCTAGCGAAACGGCTGACTCCTGTATTCCCTGCGGCATCAAATCTTAGTGTGGACAAGGCGTCAGGGCACCGCTCATCGTCGGCACCGCCGAGTCCTAGGGAACCGGAACATGACGAGCCTCCCATAGCAGACGATCCTCGGCGTAGAAGCCTGAATGTCTTAGCGGAACCATCTGCGGGGCCACATGTGGAGGATGAAACGGCAAAAGATCCGACGATTTCCGAGGGTGAGAAGCGACTTGAATTTGCGGATCTACCGAGGCCGGAGAGGAAGGATAAAGGCAAAGATGATGGATGGGTCAAGCTAAGCCGCCGAATTAGTGTCAGTGTTGGATTGATCAAGGCCAAAGAGCGCAAGAGCCGGTCGAGGGAGAGACGCTCCAGTCAGGACTTGTCGCGTCCAGGTACACCATCAGCGTCAGCCAGCGAAGACATGTCTTCGTCTGAAGGGAGACAAAGCATGTCTGAGGCACCTTCCATTCATTTTACCAAGTCAGAGCACCCAGACACGCGAGAAGCACCGCGTATCCTTGCGCTCTCCCCTCTCCATGTCATCGCAACGCCATCATCCAATGCCTCAAGTACCACATCCATCCCTCGCTTTACCAACATCAGTCGAAGCAAATCTCCCAAGCCTCCCAAGCCATCCCGAGCGGAACAAGCATATCTGCGAAAGATTCTAGCGGATGTCACGTACCAATCAGCGCCTAATCCCTTTGCTCTCCTCAATCATCTCAATGGATCCTCTTCGAGTTCCCATCAACATCCCAGTCATACGTCGCAGCATATGTGGTTGAAAATGGGACAGCTACCAAGCATTGAGGAGTGTTTAAAAATGTTCACTGCGGTAGAAATCCTTGACGGGGAAAATATGGTCGGCTGTAGACGGTGTTGGAAGATCGCGAATGGGCTATACAAACCCAGTTCAAAGCGCGATGAAGGGGATGTCGACTCGGATAGCCTTGACAACCACGAATCGCCACCGCTGCAGAAAGCCAGACCGCGGACGCCGGCCTCAGAGACATCTACGAGCGATCTGCCGACATCTCTATCAAGTCCAAATATTCCGCTTTACTCTCACTCAGACTTTAGCGACACCGCAGAGTCTATCGTCTCATTGCCGACAATGACTGCGTCGGAGTCTGTCGTGGGTCTAAAACACGCACCTTCCCCACTAATCCTTGCCAGCGTCAATGGTATTTATACCCCTGGTGGACTGCCAATTCCGTCAATAGCGACAACAGAGCCACCGGGACCTGACGATACTCCCTCGGCACCCTCAGACTCGGATGACAGCCCGAACGACTCATTCTTTCCTAATGGTAACAACAATACCCCTTCCAATGATATACCCCAAACGGACCTATTCGCCTCAAAGGACTCTCTTTTGCCTGCGCCCACGTACCGCCAGTTTCACGGCCGGCGAAATCTGGACGCCTCCGATGAGAGTTCCGATGGTGGAGAGAGCGAAGCCACGTCTGGAGAGTCTGGATCTGCACCGAAGGCTGCCGTTAAGAAAAAGCCAAAACCAGTCATTATGCGTCCCGCGTACAAGCGGTACCTCATCGCGACACCACCACCTGTCCTCGTCGTCCATCTAAAACGCTTTCAGCAGATTTCTAAGATGACAATGATTTCCTTTTCCAACGGCTTCAAGAAATTGGAAGATTATGTGACGTTTCCCGAGATCTTGGACCTGACGCCTTTTCTTGCACCGAAGAAGGAGGATTTCTTTGAGCAAGGAGGAACCAAGTCACACACAAAAGAGGTGGAGAGATGTTTATATCGCTTGTATGCGGTGGTGGTGCATATTGGTAGCATGGTGAGTTCTCCTTGTGCCCTGGAAGAGAGATACTGACTGGCGTTTATAGCTGGGGGGCCACTACGTCGCTTATACTGCCCTTCCAAATACGAGCCCTGGGGAGGACAGTCTGAAGACGCCCACTTCTGCTAATTCAAACTCCCAAAGACGGCATAGACAATGGGCTTATATTAGTGATACGATTGTTCGATTGACGACCTTGGAAGAAGTGCTCAAGGCCAAGGCGTACATATGCATGTACGAGCGGATATGACCTATCGTTTGCATACCTAACTTATTATCTTTTCGGACTGTTCATGTAAGTAACAATTGTAATTCAATAGAAGGATGGGATGTAGCAGGAAGACGACGGTGGTTGCACGCTGTCTTGTTCCATTGATGCAGCAAGCATACGACTAACAGTCTCTCAAGGTAACATTACCGAGTGGTCTAATGCGCTGGAATTCCTCTGCTCAAGGAATATCACAAAGTGGTATGAGTCAATTCGGAGTTGTCGTAGCTAACTGGTAGTTTCTCCCAGGAAAATTGCCATTCATTTTCGGTATTCATACTTACGCCAATGTGGGTAATTGGGAAGTTCAAAACGGAAGGTCGAAGACCGGTGTTGTACAGTGTAGCTCGTTGGGGCCGGTTCACTCGTCACCTGTACTCTTGCGCCGGATACGCAGTCTGCCAAGTCAGCAATGACGGTATCGGTGCGTCTGTCGGTGCGGTGCACTATGAAATATTCAGACAGTAGACATCTTACTTGATCTCATAAATCTGCCTTGCGCTCTCTGACTGCTGTAAACTGCGTGCTGTCAGACGATTTATAAATTATGTGTTTAACCGCTAACGTGGTAACATGGCCGAGTGGTCTAAGGCGCTGGAATTAGGAGGGGTATCCACATCCGGAAACCAACGTAATCCAGTCCTCCGGGGCGTGAGTTCGAACCTCACTGTTATCATCATATTTTGCACATGAAACAGTGAATTCTAGGGTAACGCACCTCCAGGAGGAAAAAGTTGTGTTTTTTTTTCCGCCACCCCCCCCCCCCAAAAAAAAAGGAGGGTGTTTTGATACGGGAATTTACCCTTACTTACTTCTGCCTTAAATACGACTGCTGTGCGGGAATTGCAGGTTCATTTTTCAGCATCTCAGGGTTCGTGTTTTTGCACATTTCCTTCATCTCAGGAGCTGTAATCCATTTTCAAATATTGGATATATATGACCATACTCTGTGAATATACATGCAACTGTAGTGAAATATTATTCTAAACTGGCAGTCACATGATAGGTAAGTCACCTTGAAATCCCTCCAGCGAGGAGAGGTAACTTACAGGTAATGAACCTCGGTCCGTCAAACCTAAGTTTCGTGCGCTAACTTAGCGAATTCACCTCGCACGAAACCTGTACTGTCCGGGTAGGTAACTCTTTCTTTTTTTTTACAGACCCCTTTGCGTCGTGCACTCTCAAACAGGCGCTGTAGATTCTTTTCTCGATATTTTTCATATCCTTAATCTCCAATCAGTGCTATGTATCTAGAGACAAACCTCGACGAGTATTACTCTAAATCTGGGTGAACGAGAGAAATATGTATAGGAAGCACCGCAGCTTTACCATTGACAAATGGTTGAAGAGAGGGCGACAGCACGAACTTTGACCCCGGAGTCTTTAAACTCGAACGTCCTTACCATAACAGCAAGGAGGGTCTTCACCTGCATCATACCTAACGGAATATTAAGCAAAATCTCAAAGATATGTGAAGGACAACAGACCCAAACGCCATCCGATGCACATACGAGGACCATCGGCAAATGTACACACGTTGCTCTATGGTCCGTGCAGGAGGTCTTTCGACGGTGGTATACCATCTGATGTCATCCACCACTCCGGGACGAACTCCTGGGCATCGTGGCCCCATATTGCGGGATTGGTGTTCAAAAGCGTATAAGGTATTGTGAATTGCTGCAGTAAAATAGACTTCAATCAATAACATAGATGAGGTTTTAGAATCGAACACATACATCACCTGCTCTTACGGGAAGGGCCGTGATGATCTCACCGGTTTGAAGTGTGACGGTTTGTGTAAAGGGATAATGTCGTCACAAACGGCTATACAGTGTATTTCCACTGATGAGGGGTGCAAGCGAAGGCTGGAACAATGAGAGTCAACGCTGATGATGAGGATACCTGGATTTAACAGCAGACTTTTCACGTGTCACAGCATCGAGGGTAGGGTTCTCGATGGTCTTCGAGTTCAGTTCAGCCTCGAGGAGCTCTTCTCGAAGCCTGGTTTGTGCCTCCATGTTCTGTGCTAGATCGAGCAGAGTAATTACAGCTCCTGATGAAGTTTCTAAACCAGCCATTTCTGAGGGGCATGTCAACATCTAAGTCAGGAGGAATTGTTACAGGAGGGTTGTGACCTGTACAAGGTATCAGAACACGAAAAAGAAAAGGAAATCAAAAACTGGCCATGACGTTGCTCTCTAAATCACCATTCAAATCATCAAATCAACCAACATGACAAACTCTTCGCTTAGCCGATAGAATGAGTCCAGTTTCCGACTGAAGACGAAAGGAAAGGAAAAATTGGCCAACATTGTCAATCGGCTGTTGACTAGATAGCTTCACCCTCGAATTTTCTTTACCTTCCCATGATTCCCTCGCCAGGATAGATAAGATATCTTGTCCGTCAGGGTTAGAAGGCTGCTTCACTAACTCTGCGAGACAAGCCGCTTTGTAGATACTCGCGGAACTCGTTACTGTATATAGAGCTTGGCACCCACGGCGAGGCGAACCGGAACTTAAGTTTTATAGGTACTTCGCAAAGACGCCTTTCTATTAGTAAAAACGGACTATATAGCTGCGATTTTGCTCCTCTGATTTGAATTGAATTTTATTGACGATAATGATGCAGGTATGTAAACAATTTCAGATGTCCGATGGACACGTAAATGTCTTTCAACTGCCCATAGGTGAAGTTTTGAAGCGGGACATGAGATAGTGGGGTATACGACAGCATAAGCAATATATGGATATTTGATGAGTCAACCTGAAGACCTCGTACAACACCGCCGAGCCATTTTGTTTTCGTCACTCCTGAGAGATATATATCTTCCGGAGCTGGTCCTCGGTCGCTCGTTCGTCGCACACGGGACATGCCTCTGTATATTTCAGCGCAGCGCGAATGCACCGTACGCAATACACATGTCCACACGGAGTCGCGCAGAGGGACATGTGCTCTTTTTGGCACATTGGACACGAGAAGTGAGATGTCTCTTCGACGTCTTCTTCATCGCTCTCGTCTGCGTCGTCGGTTGCCGCATTATTCTGAACGGTCGACGTCAGGAACAGGCAACCAGTAGGAGAAGAGACTACTCACAAATGACGGTGGCAACCTGAGATACTCCGGGTCTTCAAAGTCGTACTCATTGCTGTCTTCCCATGACGTATCGAGGGGCTCATCTCCTGATTCGGAGACTTCGTCGGGATACTCCTCCTCGCCCCTCTCGTCCTCCCAACCGTCTTCGAGATCACAATAGTCCTCTTCTTCTGAATCGTCGTCGTCACTGTCACCATCGTCGGAGCTATGGACTTGCTCCATGTGGACGCGAAAGCCTGCCGCTGTACGGCAGTGCTTGTCGCACGGCACACAATAGTGATGGTTCGGTGCAGTGACACAGTGCTAATTAAGGAGCGTGTTAGTTGGTTCAAGGGTAGAAAGACAACAACTTACACGACGAAGAATTTGGCCATTCAAAAATCGACGGCCACATCTCCAACATTCGGGATGATCATTGGAGTTCATAATGTGCTCGGCTCGTTGCCGTTTATCGAAGAAGTACTCGTCGCACAGGGCGCAGTACACTCCGTCCATACGTATCATATCGGTAGACATGATAATAGATGATAATAGTTGTTTGGTTCGATGGTAGTTGTTGTTGGTTGTTCAAAGTGATGTTATTGTGCGGATCCAGGCTGCAAAACGCACCCATTTTATATCTTTCGTGAGTATGCACGTGTTTTGCCGCAAATTAGACATGGACTTCGGAGAAACAACTATCCAAGACTTCCGGTTCTTCGAAATGGCCCCTCGAGTCGAAAGGAGACATTTTTGGTTCCATGGATGTATCGTCTGCGATCGGTTAAAAGGGGCTATTGCCGAACACAGTTTCGAACGGTAGTAAATCCTTGACCAGCGGCAGCTATGGACAACCAGTGCGGCGGGATCTTATTTGAGGTAAGACGAAGAATAAAAATGAGACTCTCTGATGTGCTCGATAAGCTTCCGTTCCTCCTTCTTTCCATAGCAACATAGGTCTCACCAATGTCTGACAGAAGGACTTACGGCGAAACAAGTTCGCAAAACCACCGGTTTCTCCTCAGGGGACTTCTTGAACAGAAAATGATCTTTGCTGTCGACGATATTGGGAACCCACAATACAGACCTTAGTGTGGATGCGACGTCGTGGAATGTACAATGATGGTAGAAAACTGCATAGTTATGACTGTCTCTGGAGTGCTAGATCATCCATGGTCGACGAGATACAGATGCACCCATACGAGCAATGAATTTTGAAGAATGTATAAGCAAGGTACCCAAGGTTTGTCAAAGCGCCTAACCTGTTGATTCTTGAAGTAATCAAGATCGCACTGATGATGATATTTCCTTATGACGTTCCATCCACCTCAACGATTGCCTTCAAGGCTTGGCCAGGACGGCGGCCACGCAAAGCCTCACGTTCTGGCGTAAAGAACAACGCAGTGGTTGACGAAGGATCACGATGCTCACGAAATCGAGATCAAAGTACTCCTGCAGGAATGATGGAATGAATTCACTATTGTTAGCAGACAGTGCGAGAAAAACAATCTGCCAAGACGCTTACCGTCCATGGGGCGCAATTTGCCTCAGCTGTCGTTGAGGTAGAGTCGCCTCAAGCGCATATAGTCATAATAATAGGTTGCCACGGACGTCGCGATTCTTGCCGCCAGTGGGATATGGCAGCTTTTTGCCGGGACGTTCACTCGCGCGTAATGGAATGCGAACCGCTGCTGAGGGCCAAAAACAGAGCTTACCCTTCCCTATACCACTCGTACTCCTCCAGATCTCGCATGAGCATCCGCTTCTCGCCGAATTTCATTTCGGTGTCACTTTTTGGCCGTCTCAAGTAAAGAAGTGGACGTACAATCCTAAGTCATCAATATCATCGGTATACTTGGAAACGCGTTCGGATCCACAAATCTGCTAGTAATAGAGGCCATAGTCACAAGACTCGATCAACACAATCGTTCGCTTTTTCGACTGTGAGCATGCCCTCGGACGCTGCATCATCGGAAGCTCAGGTAACGGGCGAGAGGCCACATCTCGGACAATATGCACGTGCAATCCGGTACTTTTCAAAAAGAAGGAAGAACAAAGACACGACAGCATCGACGGGGGAATATTGTGCGTGAAAACAATCAAGTCTACTGATTCTTGGAGTCCACGTGAGAACATAGATCCTTGTAGGTCCAGAGTTCCGTGCCTTCATTTCATGGTAGGTGCCAAGATAAGTGCCCTGCTCCTGTTAACAGAGGTAGCATATGGATAAGCGATATCACAGTATCTGCTCTGAGTCGGAGAAGACTTTGAAACCGAGTCCTTGGCCCTGGTCACCAGTTACTGCGAACAAGACTGGAATAACGTTAAGATGCCGGAACCGCTAACCTTGTGTGAGATCACAGGACCACTGCCATCCATTCCACAAGACGAGAGACTTCTTATCACAGAGGCGTTTCCCTTGTGTTCTCGGGATTCCTGCCATCTTGCCTCACTTTGGACGCCTAAGCAATCAGCAGATATGTTCACGAAAAGATGTATTACAATTCTCTTTATACACACTGCGCGGTGAGAACAATTCATCCTCTGACCCTCACCACTTTCCGCTTTCCCTTCTGTGCGCCACCGGGTAATCCAGGCGCACC